AGTGTACATAAGTGACCCGAAAAACTCTACCAGGGAACTCCAACAGCTGATAAATACCTTCAGCAAAGTGGCAAGATAGAAGATCAACTCAAGAAAATCAGTACCCCTACTATATATAGACAATTAATTGAGAAAGAAATCAGAGAAACATCACACTTTACAGTAGCCACAAACAACATAAAATACCTTGAGGTAAGGCTAACAAAACAAGTGAAAGATCTGTATAGCAAGAATTTGGGTCTTTAATGAAAGAAATGAAAGAAATCACCAGAAAATGAAAGATCTCCCATGCTCTTGGATAGCAATCTTACCAAAAGCAATATACAGATTTATCGAAATCCCAATTAAAATCCCAGCACAATTCTTCACAGACCGTGAAAGAACAATTCTCAACTTTATATGGAAAAACAAAAGAACCAGAACAGTCAAAACAACCCTGTTAACAAGGCAATATCCAGAGGCATCACCATCCCTGACTTCAAGCTCTATTACAGAGCTTTAATCCTGAAAACAGCTTTGTATTGGCACAAAAATAGACAGATAGACCAATGGAATCTAATTGAACACCAGACATTAACCCATACACGTATTAACACCTGCTATTTTACAAAGAAGCTAAAATTATGCAATGGAAAAATGAAAGCCTCTTCAACAAATGGTACTGGCATAACTGGAGGCTGACATGCAGAAGACTGCAGATAGATCTACGTCTATCACCATGAATAAAACTTAATCCAAATGGATCAAAGACCTCAACATAAATCCAACCACACTGAACCTGTTAGAAGAGAAAGTGAGAGGTACTCTTGAATGAACTGGTACAGGAGACCACTTGCTGAACATAACTCTAGTAGCACAGACACTAAGATCGACTGAGAAGCGTCTGTAAGGCAAAGGACTCAGTAAGCAAGACAAAAAGGCAACCCACAAATTGGCTTTTTTTTTTGGTTTTTCGAGACAGGGTTTCTCTGTATTGTTTTGGAGGCTGTCCTGGAACTCACTCGGTAGACCAGGCTGGCCTCGAACTCACAGAGATCCGCCTGCCTCTGCCTCCCGAGTGCTGGGATTAAAGGCGTGTGTCACCAACGCCCGGCTCCACAGATTGTTAAAAGATATTCACTACCCCACATCTGACTGAGGGCTGATCTCAACAATTTACAAAGAACATAAGAAACAAGTCTCCAAAACACCAAAAGATCCAATCAAAATTGGCATACAGAACTAAATAGAGAATTTTCAGTAGAGGAGTCTAAAATGGCTGAGTGACACTTAAGAAATTGCTCACCGTCCTTAGCTATCCAGGAAATGCAAGTCAAAACAACTCTAAGATACCATCTTACTCCTGTCAGAATGTCTAAAATAAAAAACTCCAATGACAGTTTCTTCACTGCTGGTAGAAGTGCTGACTTGTACAGCTGCTTTGAAAATCGGTATGGACATTCTTCAGGAAAATGGGAATCAGTCTACCACAAGACCCAGCAATTTCACTCTTAGGCATATACCCAAAAAGTGCACATTTATACAACAAGGATGTCTGTTCCACAATGTTCATAGCAGCATTATTTGTAATAGCCAGAACCTGGAAGCTACCTAGATGCCCCTCAGCTGAAGAGTAGATAGAGTAAATGTGGTACATTTACACAGTGGTGTGCTATTCAGTGGAAAAAAAACAATGGAATTTTGAAATTGGCAGGCAAACGGATGGCAGTAGAAGTCACAAAAAGACAAATATGGTATGTACTCACTCATTTATGGATTTTAGACATGAATCAGGGGAGTGCCAGCATATAATCCCACTACCAGAGAGTCTGGGAAACAGAACCTTCATCCAGTGACTGATGAATGCAGAGGCAGTTACCCACAGGTAAACACTGAACTAAAGTCCTGCAATACAGTGTCAGAAAGAGAGAACTGATGGGAAGAAGACTGGGCTGGTTTAACCCACAGAAACAGTTGATGCCTGTGTCCGAGAATGTGAGAAGGGTGTCGGGGATTGACAACACAGAGACTCGTTTAATGGTGTAAAGAAAACTTTAAGCAGGCCCCAAAAAGGCTCAAGAACACTTCCCAAGAAAGGCCTCCCTCCAGAAAATCTTCTGCTCTCTCTCTCCCCTAGCTGGTTCTGCTCTGACACCAGAAACTGATTTGGTACAGGACACAGCTTCCTGAACATAACACCACTAGCACAGACAGTGAGATCAACAATTAATAAATGGGACCTCCTGAAACTGAGAAGAAGCTTCTGTAAGGCAAAGGACACAGTCAGCAAGACAAAAAGGCAGCCCACAGAATGGGAAAAAATATTCACTAATCCCACATCTGACAGAGGGTTGATCTCCAAAATTTACAAAGAACTCAAGAAGCAAGTCTTCAAAACATCAAAGGATCCAATTAAAAAGTGGGCTGCAGAACTAAATAGAGAATTTTCAATAGAAGAGTCTAAAATGGCTGAGAGGCACTTGAGAAAGTGCTCAACATCCTTAGCCATCCTGGAAATGCAAATCAAAACAACTCTGAGATACCATCTCACTCCTGTCAGAATGGCTAAAATCAAAAACACCAAGGACAATTTATGCTGGAGAGGATGTGATGAAAGGGGGACACTCCTCCATTGCTGGTGGGAGTACCAACTGGTTTAGCCACTTTGGAAATCAGTATGGAGATTCCTCAGAAAAATGGGAATAAACCTACCACAAGACCTTGAAACTCCACTCTTAGGCATATATCCAAAAGATGCCCATTCATACAACAAAAATGTCTGTTCCACTATGCTCATAGCTGTCAGGGACCTCCAGCCATCAGTCAGCTAGGCTGTATCACGTACTCACAGAGAAGACGTGACACTAAGACCACCCTGCCACCCCTTCTGACATAAAGCATATTTACCAAGTAACAAGCCTGGGGTTTACCAGTCAGTTAAAGATTAGCTTAATTGGAAAAACTACAAGGTCCTCAGAAGATAGGCCTGAGCAGTAGTAAATTGTAATAGATAGGATTGGATTCTGCTGTCAGGTTAACAAGCAACATAGGAATTCTTACCCCTGACCTCTTGCCCTGTAGATTAGGTAGCCAGGCAACACAGCAGACCACCTCTCCCACTGACCTCTTGCCCCTGCAGCTGCAAGCACATCCTCCGCCTTTCCCTCCTCAGTTCTCCTATATAAATCCCCTTGTGATGAAATAAAGTTGTCGCCTTGATCAGAATCCTGTCTTGGCGTCCATTCCTGTATCCCCTGTCTTCCATCTTTCTCCTAGGTGTCCACCAGACCCACGTTGAATGTCCTGGGGGTCGGGACACATAGCAGCATTATTTGTAATAGCCAGAACTTGGAAGCAACCTAAATGTCCTTCAACTGAAGAGTGGATAGAGAAAATGTGGTACATTTACACAATGGAGTACTATTCAGCAGAAAAAAACAATGGAATCCTGAGATTTGCAGGCAAATGGATGATACTAGAAGAAACCATCCTGAGTGAGGTAACCCAGTCACAAAAAGAGAAACATGGCATGTACTCTCTCATATATGGATTTTAGACATAGATCTGGGGAGTGCCAGCCTACAATCCCATGGCCAGAGAGTCTGGGAAACAGAAACTTCATTCAGTGGCTGATCAAAGAAGAGGCAGACTCCCTTGGTTAAGTACTGAGCTGAACTCAAGAAAGCCTGTAACAGAGGGAGGACTGATGACCAAAGGGATTCAGACTGGGCTGGTTTAACCCCCAGAAACAGCTAACCTGACAAAGGTTAACTCTTGAATCCCAGGCATCAGCCTGGGAATCCAGCATGGGACTGATCAAGACCCCCTGAATGTGAGTGTCAGTGAGGAGGCCTAGATAATCTATTGAGCCTTGGGCAGCAGATCAGTACCCATCCAGAGTATACACATGGACTTTGGACTCCCATCCAACTAGGTGAGGTGCACTCTCACCCTGAACTCTTGGGGAAGGGTCTAGGCCCTGCCTTATATGAAATGACAGACTATGGACACCCCCATGGAGGGCCTCACCCTCCCTGGGGATAATGGGGGGGTTGGGAGGAGGGCACCGGAGGAGGGGAGGAAAAGGGAGAGGGACCTGGAACTGACTTGTGAAGCAACCTTGTTTCTTATTTAAATTTAAACTGAAAAATAAATAAATAAAAAAATAAAAAAAGAAGTACACAGCTAATGTAAAAAAAAAGATTTGGGTGTATCAGAAGAGCATGTTAGTCTTTGGACAAGGTCGAGGTCAGGGGGGTTCCCATGGGCCAGCCCTTTTCAGGAACTTATTGCCCCGGGCATTGCATTGTTTTTAGTAAACATGTTTTTAGTAAACATTGTCTTACAGCTACCTACTCCCAGGCTGATGGGGAAGTGGGTCTCTGCTCAAGGTCTGGTGTTGCCACAAGTTGACCCCAGATTGATGGCTGTGTGGAAAGCATGGGACTGACCCAGACCTCCTGAATGTGGGTGTCAGTGAGGAGGCCTAAGTAATCTATGGGGCCTTGTGTAGTATTTATCCCTGGAGTACAAATAGAGTTTGGGTGCCCATCCCACAATGAGGGATGCTCTCTCAGACTGGACTCTTGAGGGAGGGCCTAGACCCTGCCCTGGATGAAATGACAGACTCTGGATTTCCACCATGGATGACTCAACCTCCCTGGGGCTCAGAGTGGAGATTGGGTGGGGGACAGGGAGCCTGATGGGGTGTGATTGGGAGGAGCGGAGGGAGAGAAGATGGGATTGACATGTGAAACATGCTTATTTCTAACTTAAATTTAAAAAGGAAGAGAAAAAATGGCAAAAAAAACCACTACTCAGGTAAACTTCTGTAATTTCCCCCTAGGAGATGTTATTCTTTAAGAAAATCAGGAAGTGGGCTGGGCATTGGTGGCACATGCCTTTAATCCTAGTACACAGGAGGCAGAGGCAGGCAGACATCTCTGAGTAAAATGATTATTGGAAAATAATAGATGCACAAATAAGTTTTGGGCAATAAAAGAATATATAACTGTGAGGTAAAATTTATTGAATTTTATTATTCATGGACACTATAAAATAAAGCAACTCCACATATACCATGAAATTTTACTGCAAAATAGACTATTACAAAGACAAATTTAGTACACTGTTTAAAAAATGGAATATTTGCAAAAACATGTCATACTACTCCCGGTAATTATACAAATTGATGAGATTGTTTTCCAGTAAGTTTAATGTCTTGGCAAAGCTCTTTTAAATTTGTGAATGGCATTAAGTAGAGATTTCTGAAACTAAATAACAATGTTATTAATTGCAACACTATTCAAATCAAAGGATCAAACAGTGAAAGAAAAAATAACATGGTACACATACAAATTATAACTATGCAGGTAATATTCTCCCTCCTGTATATATCAAACCTGGACCTACAATTTTGCTCCTCAACTCTAAAAATTCCCTGCAAAATATACAGGATTAATTTATCTCTGATTGCTACTCATGGCACCAGAATTTTCACCAGAAAGAAAACTAGGGCCAGCTCTCTCTAAAATCATGGCAAGGGTTCTCTCTTCTTCTTCTATTAGAGCCTCTTCATACTGAGAAGGGAAAAAAGTAGGGTCTGTCCCATGAACCTTGGCCACAAACTCTAACACTTTCATCTTACTAGTTTCAAGATGAGTTCGGGGCCCCCACACATATTCATACTGCACAGGATCACTATTGGCTACCGGCTGGTACATCAGGTATTGCTCCTTCACAAACTCATCAGTTATCAGCTGCCTAGGGTCACCAAAAATGAAATGATTCATCCCAGCATAGATTCCCATTGGATTCAACACTTCCCAAATCTCCTCTTCAGTGGCACGATTGCCTTTCATGAAGACTATCCCTAGGATGAGTATGAGGAGACCAGTCTTAGGAAAGCTATACTGATCACTATGCATCCCATCATAGGTGAGACCTAGTTTGATAAAGAGAGCATAGCAGTGGTTGACAGGATCTATTTCCTTCACTTCCAGGCCAAAGACCATCTCCATGCGTTGAGCAGCTTTCGTGAGGATTTCTTGAAAATGACCTTCATCTTCTTTGACAATGAGTGTCAATATATCAGTCATGCTCATTATCTCTTTTGTCTGATACTTGTACAGCATGTAATTCACCAAGAAATCAACCTTGTTATTAATATTCATCACAGGGGCATCCCTGGTGACTGATTGACTTGGTGGATTGACTGGATAACCCTGCTTTTCTTGGTTACTAAGATTATCATTTGATTCACTTGAAGAGGCACAGGGACTCTGAAGACCCCCAGAAGTACTAGGTGTCTCATCTTCAGGATCATCCTGGTGGCTAGCCATCAGAGAATGAGATGAGGGACATGGTCCCTTCACATCCCTGGAGACCTGTGTAACCTCTAGGCCCTGGGTCTCCTCACAGGTCTGATCCTTCAGACTACTAGCCATTAGATGAGAGGAAGGACATGGTTCCTCTTTATCATCAGAGATTGCTGAAACCTGCAGGCTCTGGGCCTTCTCATAGTTCTGGCTCTTCAGACTACTAGCCATCAGAGATTGAGAGGAGGGGCATGGTTCCTCCACATTGCTGGGGACTGCTGCAACCTGTAGGCCCTGTGTCTCCTCGCAGGTCTGGCCTTGGTCAGCTGTGCATTCTGGATTCTTCTGAAGTTGAGACATGATGACTGTAATGACTAGAAGTAGATATGCATGCAGACAGGAAGACAGCAATGAGTAGTCACTGTTTGAAAGAGAAAGGGAGGTTGTGAGGTAACCAGCTAGTAAAATCAAGTACAATCACTATGATGAAAGCCACTTCCAATGGAATTCTGAAAATCATTTGATAAAGGTTCATATGCAAGAACTTGTAGGGAAAAATAAGAGATCCACTGGGTGTTAGCCAACTCAGCATGAAAGTTATGAGGATTCATAGTAGACACATGTTTGGCTCTGAAGTTCCCACTCCTTTTCTAAATGAAAAAAGGTCCATAATCTGCACAAGTGTGATTAACATGGAATCTGATGGGCTTAAGCCACATTCTGTGCCATAACAAAAACTACCCCTTAATGGTGGGTATGAAGTCCTACTTGTAGTTGAGGAACTACAGGCAACTGATAGCTGCTGTTACTAGAGAGTCAGATTTCTTTAAGGGTATTGTGCCATGGTTGGTTGACCATAATCCAATGGATCACCACACACACTCAAAACTACAAGGCAGTACAAATAGTACTTAATGGGTTAAAATAAGAGTACACAAAGTTGGTTAGGGAGTGAAGGGCGTTGAATCTGGGAGTAATTGGGAGAGTAGTATGAATATGATCAAAATTGTGTGAAATTTTTAAATAGAAAATAAAACCTGTTCCCTCAAGACCAAAACCATACCTTCTTAGAAATGTAAGAGTAAAATGGGAAGCTTCCCATTATTTGGATATTCTCTGGGTTAAAGGCAGAAACTTAATTCCACAGAATTTTTGTGTGGTGTGGTTATCCCCTCAACACCCAGGAGTCTTACTTAGAACAAAATAGGTCTCTTCCATTGGAAGCATAACCATGGAAGAAGATTTCTATTACCTCTCTCAGACCGAGTATGTGAAGTGAGCTGTTCATGTACTGTCCTTGTTTGAATTATCTATAATCAAGAGTTTCATGGCAGTTAATTTGTTATCATTTCTATATTTAACTGGGTGGATCACTCATTTATCATTCAGGATATATATCCAGAATACTTACCTTAATCCCTGCGAATACCTTCAAATGTCTGCTTTAATTTTATGGCTTCAGTGATTTAGATCAAAGGCCACAGCTCCCTGAAAAAGAAAAGAAAATGATGGCATAAATGATGTGCCTTGTGGATACCCATTCCTGAGTCCTCCAAGGGCTGAGCAAGGAGCAGGAGAAGAGCGCCCTGACAAACCTTTCTTCTGGAGAATGTAGTCTATGTGGATTTCTATCTTTCAAATACAGATTTCTTGAGTACTCACATGGCCTAGGCTTCTTAGGCTAGAATTTATAATCTCACTTCAAAATATCCCTCCAAACAAATGCCATGAAATCATTGACCTAGTTTGTTTCTCCTGCTCCTGTGATAAAATTCTGACCAAAAACAACTTGGGGGGAAAGAGTTCACCTCGGGTTATAGCCTATCACTGAAGGGAGTCACAGAAAGGATCTGGAGGTGGGATGGGAAGCAAAGGCAACGAAGGAATGCTGCGTATTGGTTTTCTTCCACTGGCCTTTTGGTGGTGTGAATAAGAATGCCCCTCCCTCATAGGCTCATATATTTTATTGCTTAGTTACCAGAGAGTGGCACTATTTTAAAGGATTAAAAAGATTAGGAGGTGTTGTCCTCTTGGAGGAAGTGTGCCATTTGGGATAGACTTTGAGATTTCAAAAGCCCATGCCAAGCTCAGAGACCCTTTGCCTATGGATCAGGATGTAGGTATCAGCTACCTCTCCAGCACTTGCCAGCATACTACCATATTTCCTATCATGACAATAATGGAATAAACCTTTGAATCTGTAAGCGCACTCCCAAATCAAACACTTTCTCTTATATAACTACCTTGGCCATGGTGTCTCTCTACAGCAATAGAACAGTGACTAAGACAAAAGTTCTTACTAGGGAATGGAGTTTTGTTGTGAAAAGCATGACCATATTGTTTGTTGGAAGAAATGTGGACTTTGGTACTTTGGATTAGGAAAGCAGTTGAACACTATAATGGGGCATAATGGCCCATACTAGTAGGCACATGAGAGACAGAGGTGCTTAGAGTAATGCAGATTATGATGGCCTCACTCAAGATGTTTCAGAGGAGAAGAATTGTAGTAAGTCCTAAAAATCTACCTGGGGCTAAAATGAAGAAGTATGGATTAATGGCTTTGGCAAAAGCGATTTTAAGTCAACCTCACATTTATGCAGCCCTGTGAATATCATTGATCACTCTTATGAAGATATATAATGAAAAGGAGCAAGCTGGACAAAAGGAAATACAAAATCCACACTTTGAGGAGAAAAGGAGCACCATGAAGCATTATGGAGCCATGCCAGACTCAAGAAGATAAAAACTTTAAAGAAAAGCTCATGCTACATGAAATCAAGGGAATGGTGGGCTCAGGATAAGATCACAACCAGCTAAACGTCCAGCATGTGAAAAGGATTTAAATAAAAGTTTCCGTAGTGAAGGAAATCCACAAACAACAGAAAGCTGATGCAAATGTAACTGTAGGTAGGAGCCAAGTTCCAAATCCAGTAAGCAGCAGGACTTGGCAGCTTAAGCCAAGTGATTCTGGCTTTAGAGTCAAGGATAGAGAAAAGGGGTTGTAGAATATTCCTCCTCAGCTAAGGAATGCCACTGAAGCAAGCCATGTGTCAGAGGTTTCCCTGTATGGAGGCCCTGATAGAACATTATGTGCAACTGTGAAGGTGAAGGCTGGACTGTGTTGGAGACTGAAAGACATTGGAAATTTCAGAGTTGTGGGATACCTACCAAGTAAGTTTCAGACTAGCTATTGAACCAGCCCTGGAGGAGGGAGAGAGAGAGAGAGAGAGAGAGAGAGAGAGAGAGAGAGAGAGAGAGAGAGAGAGAGAGAGAGAGAGAGAGAGAGAGAGAGAGAGAGAGAAGTATGTTGCAATCAACAAGGCTAAAAGGAGTATATCTGGGGAGTGCTATGACATCAGATACTGAGATCCAGAATTTAGAGTTTTCCCAGGTTTTTGTTCTTGCTTTGGTCCAGTATTTCCTCATTGCACTGGATGGTTTTGTGTGTCAACTTGACACAAGCAAGAGTCATCAGAGGATGGAGCTTCAGCTGAGGAAATGCTTCCCTGAGATGCAGCTGTAAGGCGTTTTCTCATTTAGGGACCAGTGGGGTAGGACTCAGTCCATGGTGGGTGGTGTCATCCCTGAGCTGCTGGTCCTGGGTTCTTTAAGAAGGTGGGCTGAGCAAGCCATAGGAAGTAAGCAAGTAAGCTTCTGCTTCTGCTTCTGCTTCTGCTTCTGCTTCTGCTTCTGAAATCCTGCCCAGTTTGAGTTCCTGTCCTAACTTCCTTCAGTGAAGCCAAATAAACCCTTTCCTTCCCAACTTGGTTTATGGTCATGATGTTTCATCACAACAATAGAAATCCTAACTAGGACAATAACTATGCTTTTTCCTTCCTTTTAGAATGGTAATATATTGCTTTTCTCCCTTGGTATTCCTATCAGTGCCACTTTTCTAAATCATTATAATTCTCAACTGCATTCTGTCAATCCTTATCAATACAGTGTACCTCTCAGCCCTTTGTAATAGATGGAGACCACCATAGTAAACCGCAAACAATGAAAAAGCAGAGCTTTGGAGCACACTCCCAATGTATACATCTAAAAAACACTCCTGTCCCTAAGGTTTAGGGAATATTGTGGAGGGGGGGAAGCAAATATTGTAAAAGCTAGAAGAACAGAGAGTTTTCTGTGAGATTATAACTCCTAGTAATATCAGAAACCCATAAATTGTCACCAACACGACTGATCAAACATGAGCTGAATAATGATAACACCAACAGATAAGCCAAAGTGGATGAAGAAATGTCTATGAGGCCCCAAAATTACATAAAGGACTATAGGCAATGAAGAAATACTGATTGCAAGAGCAATCTTCCCCAGGGAAGTGCATATCAATTGGTTACCCAATAACTATGGTCATCCCTGTAAACACATATAAGTAACATTGAATAACATTATAAAGATTGAGTAGGCTACATTTTGGAATGGATATGTATATACATATAAATATATGCAGACAATAATATTTAACAAAAAAGAGGCCATGAATTTGAAAGAGAACAAGTAAGGTTATACTCGAGAGTTTGGAGAGAGGAAAGGAAGAAATATTGTAATTAAATTATTACCTCAAAAAATTGAAAAGAACAACAAATAAGTAGGTTGGGAGGAGAAAAATGGTGGTGGGACATGGGAGGAATTAAAGTGTGGTAGATTTGATCTAAACATACTTTGTCCATCTATGCATGTTAAACAAGTTTCTAAAAATAACAACATCCAAATAACCACCACACTCCTCCCAGGCATATTTTTCTTAGAAACCCTGGAATTCCATGCTGGAGTTATGAATCAGTAGTTAGTAACAGTAGTTCATTCCCAGAACCCATAAAAGGTGTTTCACAAACTTCTGAAACTAAAGTGCCAGGAGATCTGGTACCCCTCCCTCTTCTGGTATTGGCTTGTACCTGCAACCCCATATCCATATATATGTATGTAAAAGCATATATATGCACACACACACCTATATATAGAAACACATGATTAAAATCAAACAAACCTTTTTGTTAATTAAAAAATAAAAAAGAGGGATGGGAGAGATGGCTCAGTGGTTATGAGCACCGGCTATTCGTCCAGAGGACACATATGGCAGCTCACAACTGTCTGTAAGTACTGTTATAGGTGTCCTGACATCCTCACATGGAGCCTCATGCAGGCAAAAAACGAATGCACATTAAAACAAACAGACAAACAAATAAATAAATAGAAACCCTAGGATGTCATTTGGAGACATTATGTGCACTCTAACATCCCAAACTAGAACATCTTGTGGAAACTTACAGCAGGCAGTCCATAAAATATTACTTTAGATCCTGTGAACTTTTGAATTCTATAAGCCCTAAATCTCCTATTCTCCCTTGTTTGCACACATTACTGACTCCATCAGACTAAGGTCTCCCTTTTCTCACAGTGCATCCTGTCCTCAACTCCAACTCTGCCCTAGGCCACACGGTTATTATACAGAAGTGACTTCTTTAAAAATTCCGGAGAAAATGTTTTCTAGGGATACATTCCATGTTTGAAGCAAGTCCTTTGCATCAAATCATGCATGCCTCTAAATTTGTATAAAGTTTATCACCGGCCAGACCCCATTCCATGAGGAATAATGGCAAGAGCGAGATTCTGATCTGTGTTGTGAGTTTCTCTGTTCAACTTTGTACAATCTCCTAAATCCTTATTTAGGATCAGATTTTTTAAACAATCACCAGTACCTGGGACGCTCCTTCGCTGCTTCAATTTTACTGTACACAAACTTCAGCCACTTCCTGAACAAAGTTTTCACACTTTGTGACATCACTTTCCGTACATGCTCTTCCACCAGCTTGCAACAGTATGATACTGCGCAAGCTCCTGGCTTCCTTTTCTTTTTTCCACCTTATCACATGGGCTTCTGAAAAGCCCTAGGATTTTTCCTTCTTTTTAGCTGTGATTTGCCCCTTCGTGTCACTATACATGAAAGGCTGTTAAGGCTCAAGTGTCATTCTGTAGTAACTCACAAAGGTGACACAGCCATGGTAGGTCACTGGCAGATTTCTTTGTATGTTTTTATTCAGTAATGGTGATTTCTTCATTTTTCATTCTTCAAGATTCTTTGTTTGTGGCTCTTTTAAATTACAGTTAGAGATTCCCGTGAAATGCAATCTCTCTCTTCTAGCAAATTTTTGACTAGTTTACTTACTGCATCCTTTCAGAAATTGCACTGTCTCTTTAGCCTTAATTTGAGATGGGGTAGAAAAAATATAATGTATAAAACATGCTGATATATTTATTTATTCTCTTCATCTTCCATATTTACAATTTTTCTGCAAGCTTTATTTTAAAGATACATTCTACAGGTTAAAGACTGTTATGATTTTATGCAGTATGTAATTTTTTGCTGAAGTGACTTCTTGTACATAGATGATCATCATTGCATTAGGTGTTTTATCTTGTTCTTTTTCATTCCACTATCTGACTTTGTTGTTTCAAGCACTTCAGTTGTCCTACATGCAAAGTGTGCCAGAATAGAACATGTGGGAGTAGCCAACAAAGGTCTGATGTGAATTTAGGCCTACTCCATGAGAAAGAAGGCATGCCTGATTCTGCTTGGGTGACAAAAATCAGAGACTAGGTAGTACAAAGACCTTGAGTGAAACCAAGCACCACTGCTCTTAAGAAAGAATTGATAAAGTGAATCCTAATAATATTTTGTTGTAGTCATAGATTATTGTCTAATTCAGTCCCAATCAGAGTGGCTTTCTTCAACAGCAGATGGGAAGAGATGCTAGTCGTCTTTTAAGTTATGATATAAAAAATAAAATATATTCTCAGACACAGTAGTAGAGTCAGATTGTCCTGTTGTCTCTATCCAAAACTATGGTATGCATTAGACTTTATTTGGAGATTCTGCTTTGACTACTGGTCTTTTTCCATCTATTGGGCAGTGTCCTATCTTCTCATACTAAGTAAGGCCCACAACTCTCTGATAAAATCCTCTATCTTTTGGGGAAAATGATGTGTTGATGTCATCTTCTATTTCTCCCTGCTTTCCAATACTCATAGGAAAAACAGATCTGTCAAATTACTGTATGTTTTCTCATGTTCTAAGACAGAAAATAAGTAAGAAGCTTAAGTTATTACCTGTTTGGTGACAGGAAATCGGTACCTTTCTTCTCCAATTGTAAAAAGTTGAGTTCAGCCAATAATCTAAAGAGATTGGAAGCAGATTCTTCTTTATATGATTTACTATGATATGCAGCTAAACTGCTAACACAGTCTTAATATGGAGAGATTCTATAACATCTGCCAATTACAAAATAATAACATATTGTTTTAAGCTACTGATACTTATGATGATTTGTTAATAATAGTAGAAAATGTATATGTGCTAATTCAAAGGAAATTTGCTTAGTTACATTAACATCAGACAATCTACATAGGCAGCTGAGTGTAAGTAAGTATTCACAAAGAAATACGTGTTAATGAAATGGTCACTTAACAGTCTTGTAACAGTACATGATGGTATGTACATACTCGAGATAGTAACACATAAAGAGAGAAGAATGATGATCCCATGTTTGATTCCAGCCAGCACTACATAGTGAAATCCTAGCATGTTTTCATTGATTCTCTTCCCCTTATCTTATTCTTCAAATTACTTGCCCCACTTGTCCACTTCCACCCCACAGAAGTCTCCCTGTAACGTTTATGTGTATGCGTTCAGTTTTTCTCCCCCTGCTCCTCCAATATCTCTTTTAATCACCTCACACTTCACTTTTTAATTTCATGACCTATACCCACAGTCACATTCATCCTTTCAACATTCCCCACAGACAGGTAGGCAGTCAGGCAGACAGACAGGTAAATAGAGGTAGACTTTAAGATCTGGGGTCTGCCAGACAGATTGATAGAGACATACAGAGATACATTAAGATCTAAGTAAGGTCTGAGAGAGAGAAAGAGAGAGGGGGAATGGAGAGAGATAATGGCAACAAAACAGACACCTATATGACATACATGAATATAACAAAATAGAACAATATAGAGATGCCTCTATGAAGTACTTATAATTAATATTTAACAAAGTTATAGGAAAGGTGGAAAGCTGTGAAATGCTGTCTTCTTCACATGACATGGCTGTTGTACACAACTACTCAGAGGAGCTGGGATTATTTACACATGATCTAGCCAATAAATTTCCAGCATGGATGCATGAATGGAGGAAGCCTCCTGATGCTCCACCCTTATCTGAAGAGCTTAGCAGTTGATAGATGCAGGGTCTAAATAACCCTTTAAATTAAACAGTTAAAACCACAAATTAAAGTGGGAGTATAGCGCACTGACAGACTGAGTACTTTGCATGGATGAATGTATGGGTTCTATGCTAAGTGTCACATACACCAAAAAAAAAAAAAAAGACAGAAAAAACGAAAAAGAAAAAAAGGCAAAGGCATTTCACTGAAGAAGATACATAGCCAGCTAAATACATGTAAAGAAATTCAACTTTGTTAAATATGGGGCATTTGATAATTCAAAACTATTATGAAATGCCATGGCATAGATATTATAATGCAAAATAAGTAATAAAATTATAATGTCAGATAGTCATTACTCTACTACTCTAATACTGCACAGTAACTACAAAATAGTTGGAAATGTTAACAAGACAAACCAAGCTTCAACTCACCAAGTAGCATAGCTTGCACTTCTGTACACTTAGGTCTGAAATGAGACCTTATATCTACAGAGGCACACAAGAAAACAACTGTCTACGTAATTGTTCACAGCAACTTAGTTTGTAGACGTTCCAAAGTAGAAACAAGAAAGATATTTCAACAATGGGCAAATGTTTTAACAGACTGTAGGACATTCATTCCTCGAGATAAGAAGAGACAAGCTGTTGGTACATGGAGACAAATATTTCAGTAAAACGTGGGATTTTCATACCATGGGATAGGAAGAAGCAAACTATTGATATACTACCAATTTGTATGGAGCTCAAGGCCATGCTATTGAGTTAAAAATTCAGTTTCAAAAACATGTGCTTTTATGATTCTACTCTTTTAAAACAGTCTCAAAGGATAAAGTGATAGAAATATAGAAGGAAATTGATCTTGGTTACATAATAAGCATAAGTGGGAAGAAGAGGAATAGGTGCATTTTGTTAAGGGGTAGTGTTTGCATTTGTTCTAAATTGTAATAATGGTCATAAAAGCACATAATAAAAAGCCATTGATCTCAACAAACATTTAATAATGTCACTTCTTTTTGTTATTTTAGCTTTTTGAGCCAGGTTCCTTCTCTGATATCAAACTACTGGCAATCCTCCTGCTTCAGATACCATCCTCCAAACAGGCATGAGCCACTATGGACACCAGTTTCCCAGTTTTGACACAATACTCTAGTTAGGAATTATAGGCTTAGTTGACAACCTGATGCTACCATGTGGGACCTGTAATTTGGACAAACATATCTGTGAGAGAATGCAAGGGATTTGTCTTAAGTCATTAAGTTTATGCTATTTTGGATGAAAGCAATCTAAAATTAGAAACATATAATTACTTCATGTGCTTTTCTCATTATTCATGAAACATAAAATTTCTTAAAATGAGAAATTATTTCTCCTTATTATATATTTATACTAGGAAAATTGATTAGCCAAGATCCTACTAAATGAGGAAACATGGTCAAAATATATTACATATTTGTATGAAAATTTTTTATAAAACCAGTACAATTCTAAAACAATCCCAATAATTTTGACCATTTGTTTATTAATAGATACCAGATAAAATTAAATATTTGATTAACAACATTATCATCATTATTATTATATAATAAAGAAAATTCCAGAAGGTGAAAAGGAAAGACAAAGATAAATCTAGAAATTGCCTTTAGGGTCCAGCTTACACCAGCTGCTATTCTCCCATCTTCTACATGCTTGTAGTGATCTCAACCATTAGAGAGCTTCAGTTAGAGCACTGGGTCTACTCAAAGTGTAAACTGATAATTTACATTTTCTTGGACAGGCCCATAGACAATGACCACATAGTGTGAGATTTTGCAGTCCTTGCTCTCTTGTATAAGAAAAAAAGGTAAGAAAATCAAAACAAAATCTCTATGGTGCAACTTAAGTTACAATGACTCCTACAAAACCAGGCTTAGACAAATACATTGACTGAAATGTTATTTGTTGTAACTTTTTGATGCCTTGCCTATCCCACCCTTCCTTTTCCTCTAAATTGAGGAGCATTTTAAAAGATAAATCTTATGAATAACAATTCTAATTTATAGCTCATCATAAAGACATGACAGTTAGCAAATGATAGAGACACTATCAAGTATTTGTTGAAATACTAAAGAAAAGTACAACTCAAGTAATATTTCATTTTCTATATTGAAAATGAACTAAAATCTTCAAGTATTTTGACAAAAACCACTTTATTATTGAAGATATCATTTGATTTCAGATGCTCTCCAGAATACAAAATGAACAATGCACACAAATTTTTCTTGATTACATTCTCCTGTGGAGCACAAACCAAGGGGTGAATATTTGTTAGTTAAGATTACTCAAATCATGGAGGACAAGCTCTCACTTTTGAGGTAGATTTTTATTGTCCTTGTAAACACACCCAAAGTGGTCAAAGCCACAGTGAAAATACTACTAAAATGAAAATGGAGCCTTTTTAGGGCACAGACCCTTCACTGGTGTGCATATATGAAAATTGGAAAACTCCCTTGGCACTTAATTCAGAAAACAGCTGTTAAAACATGACTGTAGTGTCCTTGGTTACATCACACCTAACTCTCTGCATACATGCTATCAGAAATATGTAGGATTATATGATATGGATATTTTTTAAATGATCTCAATGGTTTGGAACAAACCACTCAGTGTAGATACTGAGTTGAGTTGAGTACCTACCATTCACTATTTCATTTCCATAAATCAAGTTCAGTCTTGCTGAAACAAAGCTGCAGTCATAGCCATGGTGTGATAATTACTCCCTTATAGTTTTGCTATAGTGCTCTGAAATTTAGGAAAACAGTTTCAACTTACAGTTAAAAGTTGATATAAGTAATTGTAATCTTTTTTGCACTTCTCAGTATGCCATCTACTGACATATTTTTATGACACACATGGACACATATATTCTAAAATGTGCAAATACATATGTTCACACTAGAAAGCAATTTAGTACTTTCCTTGGAGAAATTTTGTAATATTTTCCTGGTTTTCAGGAACAAATATATTTGATTTTAATTCACTCTAGGAATAACACAGCTAACATTTAGCACATTTTTTTCCAATGGCATTGTAAATTTTAGTCAAACCTGGGGTATGAATTTTTCCTTTGGGAGATATAAATAGTCTACTTACCTGAGGTGAGAGACACTGACAACTGAACAAAAAAGTACTGACCTCACACCCAAATAGAGTGTGGTGAAAATATCAGGTAATGTGTTAGAGGAGCATGGGTGACCCCCAAAGAAGGCACCACCAACATGTCTCACCCCAGCATGGATGAAAACTTTCTCTCACTATGTAGAATCCTGGTTCAGTAACCCTTTTGTAGCACAAATTCTAATTGGTATAAAAACCCTGAGTCAGATATAGGGGTAAATGTTGACAGATCAGAGAAGCAGAGCAGGCAGCCACTATTTCTTACCTCTACTGAATCCTCAGATCAAAGGGGCGATCCTGTCCGTCAGAATTCTTAGACTGAATGCTGCCTCTAAAACATCTCACACTGTCTCCTCCACCTTATATTCTTATCTACTCCCAGCCATATAATCCCTGTCTCCATATCCCTAGAAAGGGATTAAAGGCAGGTGGGATGAAAGGTGTGAACCAGCACCACCTGGTTCCGTTTCTATTTGAGACTGGATCAATTTTGTGTAGCCCAGGGTGGCATTGAACTCAAAGAGATCTGTCTGCCTCAGTCTCCCAAGTGCTAGGATTAAAGATGTGTGCCACCACTGCCTAGCCTCTGTGGCTAGCACTAGTGGCTAGCTCCTTACAGCACAAACAACGTATCACCTCACCCTTTCACACATTATATACTTGGGCTAGCGTCTCCTGAAATCAAAAGTAGCTGAGGCACAAGTGTGTACAGCTGGCGTGATGATACAGCATTGGGATGACAGAAATCTCAGGTGAGGAATTTATGACTCTGCACTCTCTTTTTCTATGATGGTGTTTTAACTGATCCAATACTGAGAGCCTCTTGAAAGTAGTCGGAGTTTCTCTGATGAAGATGGCAATGCTTGTCATGCTTTGAGGACAGTTTTTGCAAGAACTGTTTTAGAGAATATTTTATTTAAATGATTTGATCAGTATAATTATAGGTATATATTTTAAATGTCTCATTTTAAAATATTTCTGATCATAAATAATTCATTTTAGCCAAGAATAAAGTATTAAGCTTTGGAAATACATATTTGTTTTTATGAAAGCGTAACTGAAAGTTTCCCAATGTTATAATTTTTATTGTTTTAATATTCTCATGATGCTATTGTAGATCTTTAAATTTTTCAAATAAGAAGGAAAGATGCTTTTAGATGCTACAAGTCCCTTTATCTGAAAGGCCTGAAGGTATTTTTCACTTATATCAGAACTAAGATTTTAGTTATGAAAATAATTTCTAAATATTATATTTTTATACTTGTTTGTGTATATAAGGGGAAGGTGCAGATGCCCCAGCATGCCTATGGAGGTCAGAGGACAACCCTGGGAGTCAGTTATGTCTTTCTGTATCATGGGTCTCTGGAATCAAACTCAAAATATTTCCCTTGGATTTAAGTCCAAAATAGAAAAACACTAAAATAGTTTTGTAGTAAAGTACTTTATTCCTTTCCAGTAAGATTTCAATGAAATAAACATCTCTGCTAAATATCCCCAATATAATAGATGTGGCAAATTCACTATCTCTCTTATCTTTGAAAATGTTTCTCAACCTCTGGGCAACAATCCTGTGAACTGTAGTAAAGTCAGCGAACCGGTTGAGGCTCCTTATGTCCTTACATACCAAAACTAGTTCTGTAAATATCTAAACAAGGCAAATTTCTTTAAATGCCATTTAAAGGGTGATAGTGAATTGTCTTATAGGTATTACAATGAAAGTGTTCTCTAAGTAATGTAGAATTTTGAGTAACTACTGGTCAAGTAGTATATCTAAAGGAAAAAAATACAAGCCAACATATATTAATAAATACACTTATGTAGTGCCTCTAGCAAATAGTCTGAGGTCAAAATATTTTTGATAATCCAAAAGGGTAAAACTACTACCCTGTAGCTTAAGATTTGCTGCCTGATTTGGAATTTGAAAAATGAACATTTAAATATGATCAACCATTAAATAGAAGTAATTTTATCATGAGAAGTCAGTGAATGTGGGAGGTCAGAGATGTGAAAGAGAATATGAAACAGTTATTTTGTATGGTCATATCAATAAATTTATAAGGCCTGTAGTCTTGGGTACCACTTCAAGAGTTATTTTGGGGGGGAAAATGGGACTTGCGACAGTTTTATTACAAACAAGATAAAAGTAATCCTTTAATCAGAACACCAACAAAAATCTTCATATTATTTTGAATTATATAGTATATAAAGCTAGCACTTACCTTTCATTTTCTAGGGTTAAAGTATTTCTGTAAAAAAAACGACTTTCAAATTGTGTAGAGCAAGCTACATAGATTGATTTATGAATGTACAGGGCACTTGTCACCTGCATTGATTATGACTTTCTGTTCCCTTTGTATTCAAAACAGCATAGGTGATTCACATTGCCATTAGTCTCCACTTTCCATTATTATTTGGCATAAAAAAACTTGTATAAACTCCTTTTTATTTCTAATTGTTACAGTTATAGTCTGTTCCTCTGATAGCTCCAATTAGGTAGTATGTTTACTGGTCTTTTACAGAACTTTATGTTTTCATAGTTACTTTACACATACTTTCCCTGCACTTTCCTGTCTATCTGAAGTTGTTTTAGAAAGTGAAGATACACAACACACAGCAGATGAAAGGTATTTGGAAGTTATGGCTACATACATGGAATCAGAGATGGGTAGATCAATGGATAGTTTGATATTCTCAAGAAACATCTGAATAATGAGAAAATACTGCTTCATAGCCATCACCAGGTACATCAAAAATATGTTCAATCACGAGTGGTTATTATGATTGGTTTTAAAGTCAACTTGCTGCAAATTAAAATCACCTGAGTAGGGAGCCACACCTGAAGTGTCCTTATTACCTTGACTGATTGACTTTTAAAAGGCTATCTTAGTTGTGGGCTGCAATTTTAGGTAGCAACCCAGATAAAAAGGGGATTTCAGAAGAAAATTTATTTTCATCATTTGCTTGCTCAGCCCCTATAGCTGGGTTGATTTACCCTGTTGTTGCTGTTGCAGATTCCTTCGTCAACAGCAGAACCAGAATTTCCAGTTTCCAAGATTTCATCAAGGAATAGGAACCAGTGGTTCTCCAGGAATTTTCCCAGATTGTGGCACCAGATTAGAACTACTGAGGCATTCTGCCTTGTGGGCTAAGTAACTACTGGTCATTTTTCCCAATGAAAGATCGGTTTTCTGGGCCTACTTGAACTGTTGAGCCTCAGGTCTGACTAGCAGGTTACCATCATTTTAGTGCTGATTTAGCTGTTATTATATAAAAACTTGGGCCAGATCTGGCAGTGCATACCTTTAATCCCAGCATTGGGAAGGCAGAGGCAGGTGAGTTTAAGACCAGCTTGATCTACATAGTGAAGTCAGGACAGCCAGCTCTGTAGAAAGACCCATCTCAAAAAAAGCAAAAACCTAAAAATAAAAACCTCACTTAATAATTGTTTATATATATATATCAAATATGTAATAACCATATATATTCATATATATTTGATATATATTTTTCATCCACTTTGTTCTATTCCTGTAGAGAACCCAAGGAAATCAATAGTTAAAGATTGTTTTTGTAAGAGACAAATCATTTTCTATGTAAGAACATTGGGAGCCGGGCGTTGGTGGCGCACGCCTTTAATCCCAGCACTTGGGAGGCAGAGGCAGGCCTCTGTGAGTTCGAGGCCAGCCTGGGCTACAAGAGCTAGTTCCAGGACAGCCTCCAAAGCCACAGAGAAACCCTGTCCCGAAAAACCAAAAAAAAAAAAAAAGAACATTGGGAAGTATATTTTAGCAAAGGAAAATGTGTAAACCTTCACAAGTCCCATGTGGTCTTGACTAAGCCAGACAGGAGCACTTTCAAAACATGCGGGATCAGGCTGAAGTGTCTCCTCTACACTCCACTGCCTTCAGATAGGAATGCAGATTGTATAGTAAAATGTAACCACAAGCTGGATTTCACTGGAGACAGAATTGGGAGATCTGACAAAAGGACTTAGTCAGTGTACCACAGTCCATATCACAGGTCAGCAGCTACTATAATTAAGGAACATCAAGGAAGTATCATTGTGTATTTTCAACACAAATCAATATATTTTTATTATGAAAATATGCTATAAAAACAAATATATTAATTTTGAAGTAGATAGGCACCTCTGTAAAAACGGCACAGTATTAATAACAGACATGGTGACCCTATATATAGAACATGTTCATCTTGCATGACTAAAAGTGTATACATATTGAATGACTACTGCTTTCCTTTTCTCTACACCCAGACAAACATCATACTCCATTATGTTTCTATGAATTTATTTAATTTAGATACCTTACATAAGAGGGCTCTTCCAACAATTGTCTTTTTTTATGATTATCTTATATTTTGGACTGCATATAATTTGAGTGAAGTCTCTCAAGGGTTCAGATGTTGGAACCTTGGTCTTCAGTGTGGGGATGTTAATAGGTGATGAAAACATTAGCAGTGAAGTATACTAATAGGTGATTTAGTCAGATGGGTCACTTTTTTGGAATGTAATGTGTGTATTCCAGCCTTGACACCACATGGCAGGAGATTATGAAGTTAAGGGAGTCCTCAATAGAGGAAAACAGATGAAAATATCTGATCTTGTATTTTCAGCCTTCAAATAAACACATTTTTCTTATAAAATAGCAAGTTGTATTATTATTATTATTATTTTAGTATAAATTTAGTATTTTGTCCTCAAATTCAATTCCTGGGATGTCATATGATCCAAATGACCAGATTTCCTTCTTTTTGTGGGATGGAGATAAGGATTAATGGATGTATTGCTGTGAGCCTTGAACTTTCTATATACTTATTTCTGATCTTCCCACCTCCATCTCCAGATTGCTGGGAATACAGGTCCATGTGACTCTACCCATGCTCTGAAGTGCTAGGGAATCAAACTGCAGCAGGCTTTCTTTTGAGTGACCAACTAGCTCCCAAAACATGACATGAAGATTTGTTATTAATTATGAATGCTCAGTTTTATCCTAGTTCTTGTTTGAATCTGTTCACTTTATCTATGTTTTGCCTTAGGGCTTTTTACCTTTCGTTCATTTTGTATGTCTTACCTTCCTGTTTTCTCCACGTCTCCGCGTCTGGCTGGCTGGCTGGCCGGCTGGCTGGCTGGCTGGCGGCTTCCTGTCTTCTGGCCCCAGGCGTCTCCTTCTCTTTCTCCTTCTTCTCTCCTCTCTCTTGTTCTTCCAGTCTAGATTTCTTCTCCTACTTATACTCTCTGCCTGTCAGCCCCGCCTATCCCTCTATTGGCCATTCAGGTTTTTATTAGACCAATGAGGTGCCTTATGAAGGCAAGGCGGAAGAGTAATACATTGTTACGTAGATAAACAAATGCACCGTA